CGTCCCCAGCCCGGCCCCTCCCGGCTGTGCCTGTTCCCGGCTTAGCGGGTGCTATGGCGACGGCGCTATAGAAACACCCAGCTGAAAGCGTTTAAGACCCACGGCTACTCCCACTTAGTCACCGGGGGCTGAGCAGCCCTGTAATCCGAGAAGACAAAAGTGATCAGAACACGGCTCTTCCTCCAAAGCCAGGGTGACTCAGGGGGAGGGGCGCCCAGAGCCCACGTGCCTGATGCACCGTCTGCCTCAGCCCCTGCGGCGACCGCGCTCCCACGGTTCTCAGAAACCGTCCGGCCCCTTCAGTCCCGGCAGCTCATGAACATGCGTCCAGCCGCTGCCGCAGGGACGGCTCCTCCAGGGACGGCGAGGGAACCCCAGGCCACACCCGGTCCCTGGAACCTGCTGGCTGCAGCCGTGGCTTCCCTGGGACCACGCCTGAGCCCCTCCTGGCTCTGGCACTCCCACCACGAAAGGGGAAGCCGGCCTAGGTCAGCGGGTGAAGCTCCGGGCTGCAGGACCCTGCGTGCGGCCAGGCCAGGGCCATGGTTCCATGGGTCAGAGGCCCCTGAAAAATCTCATTTAAACACAAGAGCTCGCCCTGACCGGTTTGGCCCGGTGGATAGAGCGTCGGCCTGCAGACTGAAGAGTCCCAGGTTCGATTCCAGTCAGGGGCATGTACCTTGGTTGCGGGCACATACCCAGTAGGGGGTGTGCAGGAGGCAGCTGATCGATGTTTCTCTCTCATCGATGTTTCTAACTCTATCCCTCTCCCTTCCTCTCTGTAAAAAATCAATAAAAAATATTTTTAAAAAATAAAATAAACACAAGAGCTCAGGGCCAGAGGCGGCAGGGGCTGAGCAGGGACGGCCACTCAGCTGAGGGAGGACGTGTTGCCGGACACACTCCCTGGTGGCTTCAGGGACCCCCGAGCCCGGGTTCCGGTGCCCTGGGAAAGGCCCAGCCGTCACAGGCTGGCAAGGGATCTGGGACCATCAGACCCAGCTGCCCACACCCCTCAGGACCTCAGGATGCTGGCTGGTGTGCGCCCGCGTCCCATGCCCAGCACAGAGGCCCGGAGGGAGCCCCCTGAGCCAGCCGGGCACTGACAAAGGCTCGAGGCCCACAGACCAACCCCCCGCCCCCAAGCCAGGGGACCTGGGG